GTAATGCTATTCAATTCCACTAGATTTATTAACTGAATGGGATTACATTCTTCTTCCTGAGTTATTCACTTGACATATGCACATATAGATTTAAGCCTTTTAAGTTTTCAATTGGTATAAGTACATTTATTGGAATACACAAGAACTTATATTAAAATTCAAAAGGAAGACATTTGATGCGATATTATTTTTTCACAGTGTAATAATAGGTGTTTATTGAAGAAAAAAAATATTTTACTGTATAGACGACTGAATCCATCTTGAATATTTGTCAGGAGAAATAAAACAGTCTTTCTGTACCAAAGACATTAATTAATCTTTATACATACATATTCCATTTCCTTCCAATGAAAATAAAACGTGAATAAATGGTTTTAAAATATTACAAATCACGCGGTATCCCACAAATAACCGTCATTTCAGGAAACGTGTCCACATAAAAGAAAATTAAAAAGTCTATAGGATTCTTAAATCTACTGACTTAGCACAATAACAAAAAAAATAAGAGAGAAGAATTATTTGAATCCTTCCCAAAGAGTCGTTCTTCTACAATCCGAACACCTGAGATGAAACTGGGAGCGAAGTCAAAACGCGAGGGTTGAGAGAGAACGCCATTTCTCAGCCACCGAAGGACACTAAAATGGATCCTTATATTGTCATTTCCACCTTTACCTTGTGTGAAAGAATATGCGAATATATATAAGTATATATATATGTATATACCCTTTTTTACAGTTATATACATAAATACAAGGCGTCAAAAGTATTTTTTTACTCTGATTCCTTTAACTAATTTTAAACTGTGTTGCGGTAACATAGTGCACTTAATACCTCTTTAAAAGTCAAATTAACCTTTCACTTTACTTAATGTTTTAGAAAGAACACATTCATATTCATATGCATATATATGAACCGTAGTCATGTCGACAAACGTAAAAAGATATGAATAAGAATGAATATCTTCACAATGCAAGATATTGTATATTGTAATGTAAAGATTTTCATTCTCACTCATATTTTTCGACATTAAATATACATATACATACATACATATACATACACATACATATATACACAATATCTCTTCACATACTTTTTTTTTAATCAGTCAATTAATTATTAAATAAGTAAATTAATTATTAATTAATAATCAATTCAAAATCAGTCCTTAATTACTTCATGACCAAAAACCATCATTCACGGAATTTAAAAAACACAAAGCTTAAAGTAAGACTGCTATCACATCCTTTTGGAATGACCCAGTTTCGTAAATACTGTTTAAATACTCAACCCCTTCTGAGAATCGTTTAAAAAATATATATATGTATGTTAGGATAAGTGTTACAGGAACCTTTGTCATTTGACAATGTACTTGGAGGGGAGAAATATGAATCATGCTACTGAAAGAAAGAAAAAGAAAAAAACAAGAAAAAAAATCTTGACCAACCCCCCCAAAAAAGAAAAAAAAAGTAAATTTACTATTAAGGCAACAACAACAAAAATCAATTTCATTAAACGATTTACAAAAAAAAAAAAAAAAAAAATTGTGACCAAGAATTCCCTCTCGATAAAAAAAAATAAAAAATAAAAATAAAAAAAAAATGTCACTTTTACGTCATAGAAAACGGAGACTCCGCGTCCTCGCCATCTGCAACGAAGGGAAAATTTGAGGAAAATTCATCAAAACTATTCATTCCTAAAAATGTTTCTACTTACTTCTATCATACCACAAAAAAATACAACCTAGATTGTCCAATTAATAAAAACCGGACAACAATCAGAAAATTAAGGGAGGGATTAAAATTCAATAAAATAAACCCACGAAACATAAAGAGAAAAAAAAAGAATTATACAAAAAAGAATATAGAATATAACCCACAGGAAAAAAAAATCCTAACGCTGAATTAAAACACAGAGGTTTTTCATTTTTTCCTATACATCTAAAATGAACCCTAATTTTTATGCAAGTATTCACATATATCACAATGTAAGCCCTGTTTACATGGATGGAGGTCAGAGGTTCATTTCTTTGAACCTTTCACATTAATTGACTCTGTTCTAATGAATTGCTAATAATTTCGTGTGTGTGTGTGTGTGTGTGTAAAAGTAAGAGAGAGAGAGAGAGAGAGAGAGAGAGAGAAGAGAGAGAGAGAGAGAAGAGAGAGAGAAGAGAGAAGAGAGAGAGAGAGAGAGAGAGAGAGAGAGAGAGAGAGAGAGAGAGAGAGAGAGAGAGAGAGAGAGAGAGAGAAGAGAGAGAGAGAGAGAGAGAGAGAGAGAGAGAGAGAGAGAGAGAGGAGAGAGAGAGAGAGAGAGAGAGAGAGAGAGAGAGAGAGAGAGAGAGAGAGAGAGAGACAGAGAGAGACAGAGAGACAGAGAGAGAGTGCGTGTGTGCGTGTGCGTGTGCGTGTGCGTGTGCGTGTGCGTGTGCGTGTGCGTGTGCGTGTGAGTGTGCGTGTGAGTGTGTGTGTGCGTAAATAATTATGTTTATATTCTAGCAAAAATTCATGAAGTCCAAATTGTCCAAATTGAAGACGCGGTTCTAACCACTTCTTCACAACTATAGAATATTCGAAATGCATTTAGAAATCCCAAATACTACATTGTAGAATATACTCTCTTTTTTTCTTCTGATAACTACCTTTTTTTTTAAGATAATATATAAAAAAAAATAAGGAGAGGACTACAAACCTATTTTCTTTCGTCGGCGAACCACCTTTCGTAAATACTGATTATTTACTATCTCAAAGGACATTTTATTTACTCCCGTGACACTTATTCAGTGGCCATTCTCCTTCTCTAGTAATCATCCTAGTGAGGTACAAAAATACGCATTATATAGAGAGAAAGAGGAACTTGTAAGTGCACAAGTCCTCGTGTTCACTAAAAACGAGCGTAAAATATTAACGCCATTACCAACGCAATGTTTTTGAGCGCTAGTACACTATACAATTTCCATTTAGTGACACCATAATCACAGGGAGAACTGCTGGAAAAAAGGAAAGATAAATATAATCCTGATAATAACTTGTGAACAGATAGAAAGCGTCATATGTATGGATAACCTTGAACTAGTTCAACAATGTTTATTTTACACAGGTATCCCTCTTGACTAGGCTATTTCTTCCATATATCATTCATAATATACCTATAAATATCTTCTGAGTTTATTTATTCCTAATCTGTAATTTAAGCAGCTGTAATTGTGACCTAAAGTATATGTATCAATACATTAGTTATATACCTCAATAAAAGTTTGTTTTACCATACGATGATATCTATATGAAAAATATATAGAAAGTACATTTCTATCCATCTAACTTTCCTCAAATAAGACTCACAAATACAAGTAAAATTAACTTTCAATTTGATTCCCAGACAATTTTAGCTTTATGTGTGCGTTTATATCATATTACCTAATATATAATAATCCTTCCACAGATAAGTTCAACATAAAACTCCCAAAATAGACATCTTAATCTTCGCCCATTAAACTTCTGTAATTAACCAACAGATATATATTTTTTAAGGAAATATATATCACCAGCAATAAAAATATTAGATCACCCATAATCACTTTTCTTTCGGTATATATACAGCATTAGAATACGCATATTTGCTATACCATTAGAAAATTAGCAATAACCTTGTATATCTAAAAACAAAATCAGCTTGCGGGCTAAACAAAAAAACACAAAAAAAAAGAAAAAGGCCCCGTGAACAAAAAAAAACACTTCACGTTATGAAACAAACGAATAATTATGGTTGTAATTAGAGTAAGACAAAATACTAGAGGAATAAAACGTGTCACAGAAAGGGTTTGTCTTTTGTCTGTTAAAAAAAAAAACAATGAAAATGGAGGGGAATGGATATATACCCCTGAAGTAGTTGTATATACATGTATATATATATATCCATACACACGTATCAAAGCACGTGTGTGTATGTATATGCAAGTAAACACATACCCGTCCATTTTTATGCATTTTCAAAGAGATGAATCCGATAACTCACCTACATTACTTTGTGATCAGTAACTCCCTCGCGAGTGACATGCACCAAGTTGAAACTCACACATGCAAGTCACCAAAACCATACATACTCACTCACTCACTCACTCATGGACTCACTCACTCACTCACGCACTCTCTCTCTCTCTCTCTCTCTCTCTCTCTCTCTCTCTCTCTCTCTCTCTCTCTCTCTCTCTCTCTCTCTCTCTCTCTCTCTCTCACTCACTCACTCACTCACTCACTCACTCACTCACTCACTCACTCACTCACTCACTCACTCACTCACTCACTCACTCACTCACTCACTCACTCACTCACTCACTCACTCACTCACTCACTCATCACTCACTCATCACTCATCACTATTTTCTAATTAAGTATGTTAAAGTATGTTTTCGCCATAAAGTATCCCCCCTTTTACACTCATCACTTAAAGTTATCAATAAAGACACCCAAAAAAATGAAAAAGAAAATAAAAACGACAAAAACACCGCGAGATGGTCATTAACATCCCGACAATATCCCCCTCGTCTCCCACAGGATCCATTTTGGTTCTACAACTTCCAACATCTTTCGTATCTCGTCGTCTTGACCTCCTCCTTGTCCTTCTCGGCGGTTTTAGACTGGGCAAGAAAATTACAAGAGGAAAAAGAAGATTTGAAAAAAAGGCCAGCTATATTAAGGCAGATTGGTTTCTCGTCACATTAACTTGTATCACAGTTCGGTATCTTTTTTTTTTTTTTTTACACTACTTCATCTTCTACCTCCTCGTTTCCTAGCGTCTAATCAGTCTACAAAATCCGTTTTTCTCAATCACAGAAAACACCAGCTCTTCGACTTTGGTAGTTCAGCCGCCGGGGAGAAAATGGTAATTTCTCTCATTTCTCTCTTTTCTCTTTTCTTGCTCTCTTTTCTCTTTTCTTGCTCTCTTTTCTCTTTTCTTACTCTCTTTTCTCTTTTCTTTCTCTCTTTTTTTTCGCTCTCTCTCTGCTGGGAAAACACCTGAGAGCTCGATAAAAGCTCCAGGCAGACTCTGTGACCGCGTGCGTTCTGGCTGGCAGCTGTGGCGAACTGTTGGCCCTTATGACTTCTGCTGCTTCCGCGCGTTCTGGTTTGGGGAAAGAGAGAGGACATTAGTTATTATTATTCTGGAATCAAATTAATGATGTTTTTATAAAGAAATACATATAGATAGATAGCTAGATGTAGATATATATACATATATATACACTGGTAAAATTCTTGGTCTAAGGTCATGTAAAGTAATACACATAATCTTCGTAAATATTCTAATCACAATTATTTTCTGAAAGTCAACAAGACATTATGCTGAGGGTTCCCATTTCCCACGAAAGCTTGGAAAATTATCACGGTCATTATCATAGCTGTTATTTAATTTGTCATCATTAAATAACATTTCCAGTGGATGAAATTTTGGTCCGTCCAGTCTCGGCACTGGCATCCATCAAAATCCCCGGATATACCATTATACACAAAAAAAAACAGAGGAACAATGGAGAAAAAAAAAGAGAAAAAAGAAATTTACGAAGAAAAAAACAGGAAATCAAGAAAAAAAAACAATCCAATAATACCAAAATCAATAATAAAAAAAAAATATCAAAACGAAAACACAAAAAGACGCGAAAATTAAACCGGAAAAAATGAGTTAAAAAAATAGATAAATAAGAATCAAAACACCACTACCTTGAACCTATAAAACTTGAAAGCCCCGACGATGATCAGCAGAGCCCCGACGACGATGAGGGTCCCGCACACGGCGTCCACGACGACGAAGGGCAGCGTCACCCCCTTCTTCACCTCCTGCGCCGTCGCCTCGTCCACGAGGGCGCTCTGGAAGGCAGGGAGGGTGAGGATAAAGGGATGAGGATAAAGGCGATGAGGATAAAGGCGGGGGAGGAGGGAGGGTGAGGATAAAGGCAGGGGAGGGAGGGGTGAGGATATGAGTGTAATGAGGGGGGTGAATGTAAAGTGGCTTTCTTCGTGTTTCTTTTGATCTTAGTTGTTTCTTTAATAGCTTAGTTTTGATGCGTGTAAAAAAGGGACGGGTGTATTGTCCCTCGAGGACAGTGAGAAAATCTGTATTGATATAACCATACACCTATGCACAAACACGCGTGCGCGCGCGCACACCACACACACACACACACACACACACACACACACACACACACACACACACACACACACTCACACTCACACACACTCACACTCACACACACACACTCACACTCACACTCACACTCACACTCACACTCACACTCACACTCTCACACACTCACACACTCACACACTCACACACTCACACACACACACACACACACACACACACACACACACACACACACACACACACACACACACACACACACACACACACACACACACACACACACACACACACACACACACACACACACACACACACACACACACACACACACACACACACACACACACACACACACACACACACACACACACACACACACGATGCGTAAGCAATAAAACCACGATGAACCTCAAAAACAAACAGACTTTGACCCGAACTGACCTCGTTGGCCCACAGGATGGGGAAGATGACCTCGGGTACGTTCTTGAAGGAGGGGAACTGGCCGTAAGGTTTCAGGGGAATATTAATTTGGATCTTCTTGGCCGCGTTCATGGTCACGCCCGTTCTCTGTGGGCGGGGAAGGCGACGTGAGAATGGGCGGCGTTACGAGCTGTAAAATCTCTGAAATCTTTTTGATCTGTCTGCGAAAATGGGCGTATTGGAAGTGTAAATATATCTTTCTGTTTATTCATGTAGCGATTATCTATATCTACTTATCTTTATACCTTAGAGTTACTGAAATAATTATATATACTATATAAACTTTGTAGTTTAAGAATTTTGAAGCAAAGACTAAAAGAAAACTGAATAAAACACAATCTAAAAAATCAAAATGACAATAATAATGATAAGGTTAATAATGATTATCCTCACTGTTACTATCATTATTACTGTTACTATCATATACATCATTATTATAATTATCATTATCATTATAATTTTCATTATTATCATTATCATCATTATTACTATTTTTTTCTTATTATTATCATTATTATTATCATTATCCATAATTATTATTAATAATCATTACTATTATCATCAATCATTCATCAATCAATCATCATTCATCATCATCATATCATATCATTATTACTATCATTATCATATTATATCATTTCATATATTATCACTATCACTATTACTATCATTATCACTATCATTATCATCATCACTCAATCATCATTTATCACCATCACTCCTCTCTCCTCTTCTCCTCCTCCTTCCCCCCTCCTTCTCCTCCCCGTTCCCCCACCATCCTCCTTCTCCTCCTCCTTTTCTCTCCTTTCCCCACTCACAGGCTCGACGTCCAGGAAGGTCTCGTGCTCCTCCTTCCTTGGGTCGAGTCCCACCAGCTTCGCCAGCTCGACCTCGTCCCCCTGGTAGAAGTGGGGCGTCGACATCACGATCGGGACGCCTGGGGGAAGGGGGGGAGAGAGGTGGGTAGAGGGGTGATGAGACGGAGTGGTTGGGGGGGGGGGGGGAGAGGGAGGGAGGGAGGGAGGGAGGGGGGAGTGGGGGGGAGTGGAGGGTTGGAGTGGAGATGAGTGGTTGGAGGGGAAGGGGAGGGGGTGAGACGGAGTGGTTGCGGGGGGGGAGGGGAGGGAGGGACGGTGGTGGTTGGGGGGTTGCAGGGAGGGGGAGACGGAGTGGTTGCGGGGAGGGGGAACGGAGTGGTGCGGCGGGAGTGGGGGGAAGGGGCGGAGACGGAAGTGGTGGGGGGAGAGGGAGGGGGAGGGAGTGAGGGAGGAGAGGGGGAAGGGGGAGGGGGGAGTGGTTGGTTGGGGGGGGGGGGGAGACGGAGTGGTGGGTGGGGAGGGGGAGGAGGGTGGAAGTGTTGGGGGGAGGGGTGGACGGAGACGGAAGGAGTGTGGGGGGAAGGTGTGAGAGTGGAGTGAGAGGAGAGGTTGGATGTGAATTGAGGTGTGGTGTGAGGGAGGAGGTGTGGGTGTGTGTGTGTGTGTGTGTGTGTGTGTGTGTGTGTGTGTGTGCTGTGTGTGTGTGTGTGTGTGTGAATATTTATTCTTATTTAATATATATATTATATTATATATATATATATATATTAATATATATATAAATATAATAATAAAAAATAAAATATCACCCAAGCACACGGAGCCATGTTCCATCCCGGCGTGGTCCTCGTCGGGCTTGCAGTAGCAGAGGTTGTCGTGGTTGACGAGGGGGTCCTCCAGCATGTCTTCGGGGCGGGATGAAGCGGTAGACGTGGATGCCGAAGTGGTCGCGGTCCTTCTCGTAGGTCAGGTAAGGGATCTGGGGGGTGGGGGGGGAGAAAGGAAATTGAGGAGGACGAGGTGAGGGGTTGGGAAGGTTGGGGGAATGGAGGAGGACGAGGTGAGGGGGGTGGAAGGTTGGGGGAAGGTTGGGAATGGAGGAGGACGAGCTGGGGGGGTTGGAAGGTTGGGGAATGAGGAGGACGAGGTGAGGGGGTTGGAAGGTTGGGAATGGAGGAGGCGAGGTGGAGGGGGTTGGGAGGTTGGGGGGAAGGTGGGGAATGGAGGAGGACGAGGTGAGGGGGTTGGAGGTTGGGGAATGGAGGAGGACGAGGTGAGGGGGTTGGAAGGTTGGGGGGAAGAGTGGGGAATGGAGGAGGAGGACGAGGTGAGGGGGTTGGAAGGTTGGGGGAAGGTGGGGAATGGAGGAGGACGAGGTGAGGGGGTTGGAAGGTTGGGGGAATGGAGGAGGACGAGGTGAGGGGGGTTGGAAAGGTTGGGGAATGGAGGAGGACGAGGTGGGGGGGGTTGGAAGGTTGGGGAATTGAGGAGGACGAGGTGAGGGGGTTGGAAGGTTGGGGAATGGAGGAGGACGAGGTGAGGGGGTTGGGAGGTTGGGGGGAAGGTGGGGAAATGGAGGAAGACGAGGTGGGGGGTTGGAAGGTTGGGAATGGAGGAGGAGAGGTGAGGGGGTTGGAAAGGTTGGGGGGAAGGTGGGGAATGGAGGAGGACGAGGTGGGCGGTTGGAAGGTTGGGGGGAAGGTTGGGGGAATGAGGAGGACGAGGTGGGGTTTGAAAGGTTGGGGAATGGAGGAGGACGAGGTGGGGGGTTGGAGGTAATGGAGGAGGACGAGGTGAGGGGGTTGGAAGGTTGGGGGGAAGGTGGGGAATGGAGGAGACGAGTGGGGGGTTGGAAGGTTGGGAATGGAGGGAGACGAAGAGGGAAGAAGGTGGGGAATAGAGGAGGACGAGGTGGGGTTTGGAGGGGATGGAGAGAGTGGAGGTTGAGATAGCGAGAGAGAGTGAGAGACAGCGAGAGCGAGAGAGGGAGGGAGGGGGAGGGGGGAGGGGAGGGGGAGGGAGAGGGAGAGGGAGAGGGAGAGGGAGGAGGAGGGGAGAGGGAGGGGAGGGGAGGGGAGAGGAGGGAGGGAGGGAGGGAGGGAGGGAGGAGAGGGAGAGGAGAGGGAAAGGGAGGGAGAGAGGGGAGGGAGGGGAGAGGGGGAAGAGGGGGAGAAGGGAGAGGGAGAGGAGGGAGGAGAGAAGAGAAGAGAAAGAGAAGAGAAAGAGAAGAGAAGAGAAGAGAGAGAAGAGAAGAGAAGAGAAGAGAAGAGAAGAAGAAGGAAGAGAAGAGAGAAAAAAGACTGAGAAGGAAATCGCGAAGCAAAAACAACCCAAAAAAAAAGATCGAGACCCAAAAGGAAAAATAATGAGCAAAAAAAAAATAAAAAAAAAAAAAAAAAAAAAAAAAAAAAAAACACCCCTCACGCGAGAACGAGAACGCGAGAACACCCACACCCCCTCACCTGCACATTTCCGAAGTGTACAGCCTGAGCACCGTGTCCCTCTTGATCGGCGGCGGGTACTGAGACCCATCCGTCCCGTTGATCATGTCGCAGTATGTGTCG